AAGTTTGAATACTTCCGCATTTAGTGTATCTAAATTATTGGCTTGTATTGTGTGGTCCGGCTATAAGTTGAATGGAATTGCTTGAGTCCTGGCGAGAGCTAGGCAGGCGTTCCGCGGATACCCTTTGGTTCGCCTTAGGGAGAAGTGGGGGCGTCACAGTTGGTATCAGAGCATAGGCTTTAGATCTTATAGTGTATCCTAGGCTTAAAATTTAGGATGCCTGACTGTGGGATTAATTTGAATATTATGTGAACTAGAGGGTCTATTGTATCCTACGGGTTAAAGAAATTGGTTACTTGAGAGTTTCTTACTTGGGACTTGTAGAAATAAAAATTGAGGAATTAGCTGATATTATATTGAAGGAAAATATGGGATGAGAGATTAGTAGTGAAAGATTGGACAAATTTGAATTATTATTATACTTGTAAGTGTGGAAAGAAGTGAGACAATTATTAGTGCTGGCTAAAGCAGATAAGAGACCGAGATTTGATGGTCAAACTGCATGTATCGTGATTGTGACCCCAGATGAAAGAGTTTCAAAGGTATAAAATGCATTTTCCTGCTCATTAGAGAAATTATGCTTTGAAATTCTAAAGGAAAAATGGGGATGTACTAGTTTTATTTTCAAACGATAATTGGAAATAATATATATATGCTTCAAGTACGTGTAATTCTTCGATTTTGGTAAATATGTGAATTTTACTTGAATTTCAATTTAAAAATTTGTGAATAACTGATGAGTTTGTTGAAATTTTATATGTGATGGGCTGATACAAGGTTAAAATTTTCTAAACTAGATTTTGCCCCTTGATTGTATACTGGTGTATTCTCACACTTGAATTCATCTATGCTTTACAAAAATAATAATAATAATAATAAAAATATCTTGAATTTTCGGAAGAACGGCGAACTTATGTTTTTATAATGAAAATCTTGAACTTGATAAGATTTTTGTTACTTTAAATACTCTTCTTATCTTTTAAAATTCTTGGTTTTCAAGAAGGGTGAGCCTATCTTTAGGTGTACGGATTGAGGGAACTTTGAGATATAGAGTAACCGCATTCAAGAACACGCAGTTAGTATGAATTGACTTGGTTTCCATTTGACACGTAAGTTAGCAAGTTGTACTTATTTCTTGGGTTTGAACTTGGAGCTTGAGGCTTTAACTATAAAACCCTAAGACTAGTTATTCTTGGAGATGATGGTGCTCTGGTTGGTGGCTTGCTTATTAAAGATTTTGAACTTCGAATGGATAACCTTTGGATTCCGCTTATGTTATGGTTTGATTGGATCTAATTTCGTAAAGGCATGTGATCTGATTGGAATTAGTGATATTCGGACCCATTGGTTTAATTAAGGACTTAGGAAGGGTGGTACACGCCGTGAGACCTTTTGTATCCCGCTTGCATATACTTCTACATTTTGTGACCCTTAATTGCCTATATACAGTATTTGACATATTGGGCTTGTTTTGTGACTTCTTAACTCGTACTATAACCTTCCATACATGTAAAGAATCATGTCTTGATTCTAAATATTTTTGCAACTTGTATATGCATTAAGTTCTTTTATGATTAATTATTCATTTTCTTGCGCTTATAGACTCCTATTAAGTATGGTAGCAGGAATAGGAAAAAGGGGTCGTGGCCGAGGGCTTAGACAACCCTGTACTCGTGAGAAAAATTGATGGATGACCTTATATAATTTAATGAGATCCTAGTACTGAATATGAATCGAGAATAAACCAGAAGATTAGATCTATCAGTGTATAATGGATTAACCTAGTTGGGAACTTAGTGAGATTTTCCTGTGTGAAATTTTAATAACTGCTTTATACGTATATTATGATTGGTCCTGTGGCCATATTTCAACTTTTGTGAAAGTTTGAACTCCAAAAGTATTTCGTGGGATTGGTGAGATGACCTGAACTCATTACCAATTTGTTCTACTTGAACAAAAGCGCTTTCAATTTTACTTGACTAATACTATACCCAAATTCACTTGTTTTACTTTTCACAAAATTTATATATATATATATATATATATATATATATATATATATATGTATGTATACACATTTTGAACTCGTTTGAGACTCGAAATCAGATAGAGTTCAAGTTCGAATCTTTCTTAGAAACATGAATGCCTATTTGTTATGAATCAGATATTAGAAATGATCGGGGTTTTATGTACCAGTAGAGTTAACTCTTGGTTGGATAAAAGGGTGGTAAATGTATTGGATCACAGGTTATGCGAATATGAACCTACATGTTTACCTATCTTTCTTAAAGGTATTTTCTAAAATATACGCCTTACTCGAACATAGATTTAACTCGAAACTTTGAGAAAAAGTGTTGGAACACCCTCCATGTATATGTTATGATTATTATGTATATGTTTTAAAAATCATGCATTAAGTTGCATGATTAATATTCTTAAATCTATTTGAGAGATTTTAAATATGTATTGATGATTGTGGTTAAACATTATTTGAAATCTCTTACTAAGAAAATTTAATTTTGGGTCGTGAAGAAAAATTTGTATCTTTAACTCTAATTTTGAAAATTTTGAATCACATTTTGCCACAGATACATTCAAAATACATCAAAAGTCTTGACCTTATCTTGTAAGTCATGATTGGTTTGATTTAGACAAAATTTTGAGGAAAGGGATTTTGGTCCTGCTAGTGCGTAACAGTTTTTTTTTTGTTAGGATTTGGAACTTGTTTCATATGGCGTATAATTTATGGTTTTATGGTTTCACTACACACGGGAGTAAGACCTTAGAATGGAAGTACATATCATTATATCAAGAGGTATTACTTTAGTCGTGTGTGTGGATTTTCTTAAGTATCATTCGAGGAGAGGGAAGAGTAAATATACCTGGATGACTTAGATGCGTGAGAATTTACAGGTTGTGGATAGTTGAGTTTCAAATTCTGATTTACTACTTATTTAGATGCTTGAGCAGTTGATAGGCTAACAGTCAGGATTAAGAAAATGGATGAATGAAAAGTTTGGAAGAGATGCGTATAGAAATAGAAATTTTTCACAAGGAGTTGGAATTCCAAACTAAATTGGCTAAATTCTGGGAAGAAAAAAAAAAAAGTCGAGAACTTAGGGTTGAAAATGGGATCCAATGTTTAATCGCCGATTTGAGATATTAAAAGTTGTGAGATTTGGGTGAGTGAAAGGAAATATTTGATGGCTTGAATGAGCCTAACGATTAGGGACCGGATGTTATATTTGGAATGGACGCTTGAGGCTATATATACATAGATTATTGAGAGTTGAACGATGAGACTATTAAGAACAAATGCTCCATAGCCTCACATAAACGAGAATTATAATCAAGGGTCAGGAGCAGTGAATAAGGGATTTAAAGTAGAGTTACTACCAACCGGAAATTCTAGAAACTGATGTGCTTAACCACTTCCAATTCAAGATGGGGATGCTTGAATTTTCAGTTATGCCAATTGGGTTGACTAATGTATCAGCAGCAATTATTGCATTAATGCATCAAGGTTTTAAATCGTAATAGGATTAATCTGTGATGGCATTTATTGATGATGTATTGATATACCCTAAAGTTTGAGAAAATCATGAAAAAATACCTGATGGTAGTTTTACAAACCCCGAGAGAACGCTAACTTTTGTTAAGTCCAATAAATGTGAGTTCGATGGGAAGAAATAGCCTTTCTAAGTTATATAATATCTAAGGAAGAAATTGTTGTTAACTCAGTTTAAGTGGAAGCTGTTTAAGAGGAAATGACTAGAAAATCCTACCGAAATTTGGAGTTTTTAGAGGTAGTCGAATATTATCTTGGTTTGATCAGGGACTTCTAAGGATACGAGACTTGACAAGTTATTTGAGATTCTAAATGTGAGGAAGAATTTGAAGGTGAAAATCGTTTAACCAGTGCACTTGTGTTGGCTTTACCGAGCGGATGAGGTGATTTTGTGATTTATACAGATGGTTCAAAGGATGGTTTAGAATGTATATTAATAATATATGATGAGGTGATTGTATATGCCTTCTGAAAGTTAAAATCTTCCGAAAGAAAGTAATCAACTTATGATTTGGAGTGAGTTGGAAAACATAAGTCAATGATTGATCTGATAGGCTTAACCATGAAGGGAATGATGTTGTTCTAAGTATGAATTTCGAGGACGAAATTCCTTTCAAGGAGGGGAGGATGTGAGAACCCGAAAATTTTCTTATTTTTATAGAATATTATTGGAACATTTAAATGATTATTCACTCATTTTCTTCGAATTATTTATTTCGACCATTTTAAATCCATTTATATGGAATGACGCCTCTTTATAATTTTAAAGCGTTTTGTTGAAAAATTCGCTTTTCGAAAATTTGATTAGTCCGGAACGACGGGTGCATGTTTTTCTAGGCTATACTTGAATAGGGAAAGTATTAATATTGAAGAATTAAGAACGATCAATAATAGATTAAGAAAGGTTAATGGAGGAATTTATACTCAATTCACGTGAGGACTCGTAAAATTCCATTATTTTAAAATCCCTAATTTTGGCTAAAATAATTATTTATTTGGATTTTTGCCACGAATAATATTTTCTAGCCTATTAGACCTAAGTACATGGTTTTATAGCTTCGTTATATTTTTTTAAAGTGTCTCGTTTCAAAAATTATTTTCTTATAAGCTTGTTTAGTGAAAAGGTGAAAACGTGTCCAAACACTTTAGCCAATTGGGATTACAATAAGCTAAAAATTTAAGACCTATACAATGGACCTAAAATAGACAATTTTAGGTTTAAACACACAAGTAATAACTAGTGGTACGATCGTTATAAGAATTTTTCAAAGGTTTTAATTTTTATTACGCCTAAATTAGAAATACGTGTTTTCACGTGCGCGCTTAATTGAGGGACTTTGGACCATTATTTTGGGACAATTAAGAATGAATAATATTTATATGAATGTAAGGGCTCTAGAGGTTTAGTGCACTAGTGCAACAAACGTAAGAGAAATCGGATACAAAACGCGCGCGTAGGGTACTAGTTAAAAATTGATTTGACGTATCAAAGGATTTGACGTCAAGCGTCTTTTGTACGCAAAGGCTACAGAGCCGAAATTCATTTCCTTTTCTCTGCTACAATGGCCGGCTAGACTGCAGCAAAGGAACAACCAAAGTCACCATTTCTTTTCTTCTAAAACTCAACCAAATTCTTACCAAAACTTCCCTAGATTCTCACCAAACTTCACATTCGTTTAGCTTTTCACTTGGACAACAACTTAGGCTGGAAAAGGGAGGAGTTTCACGGCTGTCTTCAGGCTTCATAGGGACCGAAATTTTCTGATTTGAACAGCCATCAAAGTAGGTAGCCATCTAACTTCTTAAACTTGTTTATGGAGTTTGATTTACGCATTTGAGTTGAAATCTTTACTTTAGTAGCTTGTATTGTTGGAAAAAGTGGGCTCTATGAATTCCCACTCTTGGGTTGTTGCTGATTCTGTGCTTGATGAAGTTTATGATGACGGATTAGTGTTTAAGTTAGTGTTTCGTTGAAGAAAAACTGCAGGAAACTCACGTAGAGAGCAAGGGCCAAACTTGACCATTTTGCCCCTGCTCTGTTCGGTCATTTTATTGCAGAAATTGAGGATTTAATGGCTTGATTGTGTAGTTTACATGTTGTAGAAGTTGTGTACAAAATTTCGTTGACAAATATTGAGTTTTGGTTGCTCAAACGAATTTATTTCAAAAACTAGTAAACTGGAAAACGGTTTCGCCGTAATCCAGACCAGTGGTTGTATTTCGTTCATAACTCCGTACTCCGACGTCGAAATCAGGTGCCGTTAGCGGCATTTGAAACTAGACGTTTCCATGTTTTTATCGGTGTATAATGCATGTCCTGGTTTTATGTGTGTGAGCCACACCATTCATCTGAAGTCGGCTGTCCTGTTTCTCCGTTCTGCCGAAATGATTTGATAATGCTGCAACTTGAGCCTTGATTTTGAACCAGTTGCATGCTGAAACTTGTAACGATTTCTTCTGTGAAGTTGTAACCCTATGAATTTATTTTCTAACACTATCAACCATTCCCAATTCCGAGTTAAATTGAGAGAGTTATGATCAAAATACGGCGACTGCTCGTTTTGAAAATCTTAGATTTGGACAGATTGCCTTAAGGATTTTTCCAAACTTTGGTTGATTGAATGACCCCCCTCCCGAGGGTATTTTTCCGTGAAATTTGATAGAGAGATAACCTTCATATGGAAGTATTATACTGCAAAATTTGGTGTCAATCCAAGTCCGTTTCGGCACTTAACTAAAGGTCCAAAGTTGGAACCAAATCTGGAAATTTTGTAACAGTCTTGAATTTTTCCCAACTTTGAGCTACCATATCTTGGTGCTCGAAACTCCGATTCTTGATCCGTTTGTTCTGACCTAAACCTTACTTGCACCTCTAATTGATCTATAAATTTCAAGGGCTGGTTTGCAATGAGTGAATTCTGCCGAATTTTCAAAGTTAGCGAAAAACCAACCCCGGCTCAATCCTGGGTGATTTGGAACAGCAACTTTAGGCTCATTTTTGAGCACTTTCCACTTCGATTCATGGAAAAGTGTCTTCTAGGAACTTGCATTACTTTCTAAGAGGTTTTCAACGGTATAAAGTTTTCCAATTCTCGACTTATGCCGAGTGAGTTACGATTTTTCAAAGATTCATAACAAAACTGAAAATTTTCCCAACTTTCAAGGAAATAGAGTTTTTCAAGAACTCTTTATTCTTTTGATATTATCTAAACGTTTTATCCCCGATTTCCTAGATAAAGACTTAAATATTGTTGAATGTTATTAAACCTCTCTCGAACCTCGATTTACGAGTAATTGAGGTTCATTTTCACGGAATTTCCTAGAGTAATACTAGTGAACGAATTATTCCTCGATATTTGGGATATGGGTGATAATTCACTATTATTTGCTCAGGCACGCACGAGGACCTCCAAGAGGACCCTACTGTGGAAGTTTGAACTCTTCCTCCAATTTACTTGCTTGCATAACTTGGTGAGTGTCAAGTGTATGCCTACTTGAACCCTAAAGTCTTGATTCATGCTTGATTCACCTGATTTCATGCTTAGCTTAACTGATTTTGACAAAATGGAGTCGAGTGTGTACTTGATCGCACTCGTTCTCATTTGAAACGAATGACTCATGCTTAACATGATTTGCTTGGTTTACATGACTTGAAGTGTCTGCTTAAACCTATCAAATGCTTGAATACATGAAATGGTATGCTATGATTGCATACGTCGATGGAGTGAATCTCCTCGACATTTACATGACAAATGGGGGACGCCCAAACTCATAGGCCGACCTTGGAACTCGAGCCGGCATGGGCTTGGTCGGGAACCTCGATGAGCCATGAGACTCAAATGATAAGCTTGATCTATTGAGAGATCTCGCTTGGCATACTCGTATAGTATCGCCTTATAAATGTAGTGCGGGCCCGAAGTGGTGTATGGTGGACGGATGGGAAGTAAGTGGTGAACTACGGATATGAAAATATCAATCCGGTTGACGGAGAGTCATCACGGAAAGATATATAAACGGTGTCGGCAAATGTGGAACTTAGCTCCTGAGAGCTTCTATATCCTTGAATTGTTTCTGGTTACAGTTTATTGGTGTTATTAATTACTTGCAAGATAATACCTGAATTGTTATTGGGCTTGTTATCTGAACTATGTGGTTGCATGTGTGTTCTTGGCCTCACGAGCGTTTTGCTCACCCTGTAGATTTGTTTTCCTTAACAGGTTTGAACTCGGAGGTAAAATGGAGAAGCCCTCTTGATGTACTTTTGTTTAGGGCTTGTTATTACTTTTGGTTATGCCTTTGGTTTTGGAATTGTACTTTTGGTATGGAAATGTGACCCTGAGAACTGTCACAGTTGGTATCAGAGCCATATGCCGACAGTTGGGATCTTAAGTCCTTCGTCTGGAAAAGCCCCGAGCCTCTCGTTCGTGAAGAGTCACGAAGCGAAACTCTCCGTAAGGGATGCCCGCGTGCGGGTGGCAAGCTGATAGGTACCCCGTGATGTGACCCTTTGGACAAAATGTAATCTGTATTCTGACGTGTGGTTTGGAGAATGGATGACTATTATTAAGTTTGAATACTTCCGCATTTAGTGTATCTAAATTATTGGCTTGTATTGTGTGGTCCGGCTATAAGTTGAATGGAATTGCTTGAGTCCTGGCGAGAGCTAGGCAGGCGTTCCGCGGATACCCTTTGGTTCGCCTTAGGGAGAAGTGGGGGCGTCACACAAGGCACAGCCTTAGCCCTCGTAAAAATACTGATCATTGGAAAAGAATATATAACAATTCTAGTTGCAAATAGGTACATAATATCATAATTACCATTCATAGATAGCTGTCAACAATTTCAGTAGCAGTTGCACACATTCCAGTACAATTAAGTCCCAAGTAGAGATACATAATGCATGCTCATAGTTACATAATATCATATATTATGATTCATTAACTTCTAGTCATAGCGAGAATGTTAATGGATTCTAATATGATGGCAAAAGATAGCATGCTAAAAGTTCAGTAGCATCCATGATGAACAAAAGGATGAACAACAAAAGGATGAACAAAAGAGGACATGAAGCTGTGTGACTGCTTCATTTTGCAGATTCACGTTGCTTCTTGAGAGGGCTCATATGAGCAGATTTTGAAGATGCAGGCTTCTTGTCTTCAGAACCATTTTTTCCAGCAATTGAGGGAACAGCTTCAATGGTTGTCTTCTCAGCAGAAGGTGGAGTTTCAAAAGTTAAGCTTCTTTTTGCAGCAATGTTTGAAGAGCCTGGCTTATCTGCATTATCAGACTTGCGCCCAATTGAATCTAGGATCATTTTTGTTGTTGGGCTGAAGAATTGCCCTTCAGTGGCGAGTTGGTCAGTGAAAGTGGAGCGAGCAGTTAAGTCAACATGTTCAATGGTGCTGGTCGGCTTCTCAGTTATGGTTGGAGCAGTTGGAATAGGCTCTTCCACAGGATTAGAGACAACTGTGCGCGTGATTGCCAGGTTAGCCAATTCTTCAGTAGTGTATATTTTGACAATGCTATACTTGTCATCTTTCTGCCTTTGATAATCCGAGTCAAAATGGCGGACAAAGCATAGGACTTCACGGTTATCAATTGCAGATGCAATTTCAGAAAAAACCTCAACACCCTATATTTTGCAAATAAACAAAAAAACAAGCTCAATACCCTGTATTTTCAGAAATTTTATAGACTGCCAGAAAATGTAAACATGATGCAATTTCAGAAGAAAGCTTAATAGTAACATAGATTGAAGGCGACATGAGCTGGGAACTTCCAGCGACTTTCCTTTAACATTCCAGCCCAAATTTCCAACTTTTCACAAGTTTTCAGCCAAACATCTTGTAACACTTGAGATAAACATATTGCATGCATTTGCTAACATTATTTTCCAAAGAAACATTGATAACAAGCTGCAGCTTCAGCTTTCTCTGTCGGTTCCTACTATTTTTTTTTCTTTCCAACAGCTAATGAGTTATTTAAACAGAATTTTCCTCAACTAAAACTCATTTTTCTTTGCTAAAATTCAACATGCTACTTAAGAATTCAGTTATACCAGATAATTAAAAGATTGTTGCAATCTTAATGCTGGCTAAAAGAAACTTTTAGCTAGTTCCAGTTAGGAATTTTGTTTGTTGACTGCGATTGAGTCCTTTCCTCGGAAAGAATAGCAAAATAACTAGAGGGACATTACAAGATTTGCAGGCCAATCAATGCAACCACAGACAAAAGAAAATAGAGATATTGCATGTCAATGGTATGAGTTTTTCAGCATCTTACATGTTCATCAGCTTCACTTAGTTGTACTGCTGTGAATGGTATGAGTTTTTCAGCATCTGTACCAAACACTACTGCATATATTGAACTTGTTCCATCATCAATGATAATTCCAATACGGCATCTGGTATATGATAGCAGTGAATAATGGTTAAACAATGAAATAAAATAGAATTATTGTTAAGAGCACAATTGTAAAATTGAATGCCTTGTTTACCTGGCTTCAACGACACTTTCTTCTCTGCAAGATGGACATCTGATGATCCATTCCAAATTAGCATCTACAGCCTTTTGACAGTTACTACATGCAGCATACCAGAAAGATCGCTGCTCAACTGCCAAAGAAGTATTTCCTCGTATCCAGGCAGTCTTGACCTATAGTTTATATTGTATTAGATGCAAAGTTAAGTAATTCATTTTTCACTAATGTAAAAGGTAAGAAAATAGTATAAGTCAGTTGGTGATATGACCGTATTTACATTTTTCAGCATGCTCATAGCGTTCTCAATACTAATGATATCATTATTTTTGGGCGGAGGCAGCAATTTGGTTGAGTCTTTGTAACTGCCCTCCCCAATTAGTTGTGCAATTTGCTGCCGATTCTGATCATACCTGTGAACATAAATATGACATGTTATATTTTCCAGTTCTTATGTATAATTATAAAACATGATATGCTTACCATTGCCTTAATACAGTAGCTTGAAAAGTTGGTGATTCACCAGCAGACAACTTGCAAGCCTTGTTGTTAGAGATAGATCTAACAAAATAGTATTTACTTAGCTCATTAAAGTTGAAATATGGTAGGCAAAGGAGTAATAATTTATTGAGCAATGGGAGCTGTAACTTACAGTTAAAAGTAATTACTTTGACTCTCATAGCTATGATGATGTTGTTGTTTGCGATAGTGTTTGCCAGCTGTGCTCCTTCATTTGCTTCAAATTCGTTCCACAGAGTAAGGAGCATTGGCCTTTTTCTAAAAAAGCAATAAATATGATAAAAATTAAAAAATGTAATAAATTTATTTAGTAAATTGAAAGTATATTCTTTTGTTCCAGTTGGCTTACTCTTGATTAATAACAACCAAGTCTCTAGTCGTTGAATCAAGACCCTGTTCCCTTGAAGGAAAAGCATGCACGACAATACCCTGGATATCTATTATTGAAAAGAATATTTCAATCTAAAGATAAGCTGAAGATAACATGAGGAATACATTGAGATTATCTAAGATAAAGCATGAACTTACTTTGCAAATTTTCTGTGTCAGCAAATTTGAATCAGTTTGCAAATGCTGTGAGCTCAAAGTGACATGGAATAACCGGCAGAACCTGCTCCACATACTCCTCAACCAACGTTCTGTTATGGATTACCCAAGAATATGGGTAGTCACTGACCTTATACCTCGATTCTGCTTTTCGAAGAGCTGCACTGGAGATATAGTATATGCTAAATGGCATCAGTATGCCAGCAAAAAAACGGATATCACTGCCATAGATGACTGCTGAAACCTTTGTTCCCTGTTGCATCATAAAGAAGAATAGATATAAATTTGCAAAATAGTCAAAGACATATACAAAAATTAAAGGAATATCTTTATTTTTTTGGTTACCTCAGAATCTGTAAGGAGGAAGCGGCGGTAGTTCACAGGCCTTGCTCCTCGACTCAATTGTACATGTCCTCTCTCAACAACCTGAGCCAATACTGTCCATCCTTTTACTCCCTCAACAACCTCATTCACTGGAAGGTAGCGTCTTGCCATGCTTATCTATAAATGGTACAAACAGATGAGTTTTAATTTTAAATATAGACTACAATTATGATAGGATTAATTAAAAATTGAAGAAATAGCAGAAGAATGTTCATTTACTTGATAGCTAATTGAGAAGCTTCAAGAACTTCTCTACATACAATATTTTTTGTCTGATTTATTCTAGATTTATCAAAAAATGGAGGCTTAATGAGTAACTTGACTTGTGAAGCTGTTCTTGCAAGTGATAACGCCACATAAAGCTGGCCATGAGAGAACACAGGTTCTCTTAAATAAATACCTACAAAATCTAATGTTTGTCCTTGAGGTTTGTTAATTGTCATTGCAAAGCACAAACAGATTGGAAACTGAGTTCTCCTATATGGGACAGGGTATTGCTCATCAGTGGCAGGTTCTAATGGAATTCTATGGATGAAAACATCTTTCCAGCAAAATCACCTACAACTATTTGAGCATGAATAACATTTCGGCTCAAATTCCTGCATATTAATCTTGTCCCATTACAAAGGCCTTCAGTGGGATCTAAATTTCTAAGCAAGATTATTGGTGCATTAACCTTCAAGATCAGCCTATGAGGTGGAAGTCCACTTGGGGAAAGAGAATTCAAAAAATCCTCATACTGTCCCTGATGATTTGGATTTAAAGTTTCATCAAAACTAAGATATTTGACATTTTATAAGCATAGACAAAAAAAAAAAGAAGCAAAATCAGTATAAGAAAAGGAAGAATAAAGATTCACAATGAAAAAGAAAATTGAAGAATTATAGTAGCAGTGCTAGACACCATTTTCATAACTCCATAAAAATTATTGTTTAGTTATGATCTAGAAGTATAAAAATATGTTTTCAAGTAAAGTAAGTACATTGTGAGAAGAAAATCAACCAAATTAATAAATAATGGTCTTATAACTCTCATTATTGATCCGTTTACTATTCTGTTAAGTTTTATTGCTAGTGAAAACATAGTCAAATGATCTGAGCCTAAAACATTGTCTAGATAAGCTATTTACTAATATTGTTATATAATGGTGAAAACTAGAAAAAAAAAAAAAACTTGATCCTATAAGGTTATGAAGACATGTCTATCTATGGTAGAAGTGATAGCTTGCAGATTTAGAGACTCTGAGGTCAGGGCATTTATGAACCATTAACATATTCTTAGTGACAATTTTAGTCTTTATTGTTGATAGGAAGTCTACATGGCCATGGTCTCCTATATCCCTGTATATGGCTGAAGTTGCAGCTGTTTCCTAGGTTGCTATAATACATGGCTTCTACATGGATGTTTATTTAATTAATAAGCAGACTGATAAATCTGTTTTTTAAGGAGAGGCCAAAGAAAAAGTGGAATGGAAAATAATTAAGTATACAGGTTCTTCATGGATCATAATCTTAAGTGACTGTAGTTTTTGCAGTAGTATTTTTTATTCATGATATATGTAAATTTTGCACCATAACCTACCAAAATTTGATTTACAAGAAATTTCTTGAAAGGGAACGTAAAATTTGCCAACAAAAATATTGAAAAAGCAACATCTTTTTTTTTCAGAAAAAAATAAAAGTATCAATTCCAATGTCTTAAATGAAGTCAAGAGGTTGATATCAATGGCAAGAAGTGAAGTTTATCTAAACGAAATCGATAATCAAGATATCTAAGCTTCTAAATTGGCCGAAAATGAAAACTCAAAAAGCTAATTGAACAGCTAACCCAAACACAACTGCAAAAGGAACAAAAAAGAATGCAAGCAATGCAAATTAAATAGGAAAAAGAAAAGAAGAAAAAACCTGATCAAGTGAAGTATTTGATTGAATTACTGATCGAATTACAGGAGCAAAAAAAACCGTTTGAAGTATTACAAATGAAAAGGACCCTTACCAAAGTTAGAGGCGGAAGAAGCTCCCTTCCAAACGCAAGGTCTTTAGAGAAAGAAATACACCCTTTATATGGGCACTTCCCTTTCTTTTCCTTTTCAAAACCTAAAAACCTAAATTACTACTCACTTAATGTCTATCACATCAAATCCCTGAAAATATGATTTAGAATTACGGAGTTCATGGGAAAATTGGATGGCTGCGAAACCAATTCTAGTACAAATGAAAGAAATCAAACGGCTGGGCACTTTTGTGGGGAAAAATCCCTGAATTTTGGGGAAAAAGAAGACACCTAATCTCTGAGGGATTTCAGGCCTTCCATGCTGCCAAGTACAATAAGCATGTGAAGGAGCCATCTCTGCTACACGAAGGGAAGAGTGCTTTGCTGGTACTCTCACCCGAAGAAGAAGAAAAGAAAAAATGCTGGTTTCTTGTCTGAAGTGTTCGTCTGAAGTGTTTGAAATGAAATGGGCCGGTTGTCTAAAGTGTTCGGCTGAAGTGTCTGAAATGAAATGGAAATGGGTCTCGTTGGTTCTATTCATAGTTATTAAAACCAACCCGGACATCAACCCGGCAAGAGGACCGGGTTGACGGGTCAGTGGTTCAACCGGTGGGTCACCGGTTGAACCGTTGGGTCACAATATATAATAAAAAATATATATAATTTAATTAAATAAACATGTAAATTATAATATAAGTACAGAAATTCTTAAATCTCAACAAGTTATAACCTGTTCATAGTTCATAATTCATTTCACACACATAAATATAAGTATCAAACCATGAAACATAAGTCATAAACGACAAATTCAATACAACCAAACATAAAGTCATGAACATAAACAACACCACAATTATCACTTGAGTAGTTCACTCCATCTATTATTCATGCCCATGGTTCCCAACTTCTGCCAAATTCAGTACCACTAAGTTCATTTACATCACAGCCCACATTAAGAACATTTCTTTCCACATTCTCTTCATTATTGGTCTCATCTTCATCTCCAGTGTCCAAATCATCCAAATTTAGAGTTTCATCTACATAAGTACAAAAATCAATGAATCATTCACTAAATTTGGATAATATTTAGCCAAAAACGAAATTTGGTCCAAATTTGGTCCAATATGATTTCTTGAAATTTTTAGCAATGATATCGTGCCTTCTACCAGCAAGTCATTATATGTATCAAAAAAGGAACTGGAGAAACCAAAGAATATATTGGTTCATTAAATCTTAATGCAATAAAATTCATCCCAAAATCACAAATTTATGTACACACGCATATAATGAAATGATAAGATTTCTTTAGCGGTAGGAAGAAACAATTGCTAATTAATTTTTTGACCATCAAGAACTGGAAAACCATCATAGTCCCAAACTCCTCAAAATCAAGCAATCCATTCGAGTTTGTATCTAACTGATTCAAACATGTTAGAAATGATTGTAATTGACACACATGGAAGCTTTGATGCGTTCCACCTTCAGTGGTGATTACACAGGGAAGCTGTGTAATATAATTTGAGAATAACTTGATAATTAGTTGATAATAACTTGATATCTCGAACATATAATTTGAGAATCTTAAAATCAAACCTAGTTCTTGCAAGTTTTAAACTTTTTTTAGACCAATTCTTAGTTCATTAACAATTTAAAGTTTCTCTTAAACTTAAGAAGAAAACAAAAGAAAGAAAACAAAAAATTTTCATGGTAGATTCATTTATGTACTAACATTTTGTCAACTTGGCATTGCCGCATGATGCTAATTGTTTGGTATAGGTTTGGTAAGGTCTCCACATATCTCACTGGTTATTGTAATATATCAACTCTTTTGGGTTTACCATTTAGTCCACAAAGACAAGCCTGACTCCCGTACGTGGCACTTTCACCTTTGTCAAATACACGAATGATTAAAACCAGCCAACTCCTCAATGAAAGAACTTCATCCTACTGCAATTTGTTTTCTT